AGGAGGAGGAGGAGGAGATTGGGTTTATACCCCACCCTTCACTACCCAAAGGAGTCTCAGAGCGGCTTACAAACTCCTTCCCCCCTTCCCACAACAGACATCCTGTGAGGCAGGTGGGGCCGAGAGAGCTCTGACAGATACTGCTCTTTTTAAAGAACAGCTCTTATCAGAACTACGGCTTGCCCAAGGTCATCCAGCCAGGTGCAAGTGGAGGAGTGGGGAATCAAACCCGGTTCTCCCAGAGAAAGAAGCCTGATCTAAAGAGTACTTTCCCTATCACAAATGGCCAGCTCCTCTGGCATCAGGTGTGTGGGAGTAGGAGGGCAGTTGCCTCTACAGGAGAGACCTGCAGAGACATCTGTCTCCATGGAAGGCCATGTGGAGAGAGGGAGAGGACAAAGAAAGAGGGGAGGGGTCAGAGGGCAGCTCCAGGTTAAGAGGCATCTCATCCAAGGAGATAACACCTAGACACCCTTAGAGTGATGTAGCGCCCACCCCCATGTCCAGACATGCTGACTTGCTCACTCCATCAGTCCCAACAGGCAAGATGGGGGTGTATCCTTGGTAGATAGGGACCATTGTGCATGTGTGATTGTTAGGTGCCGTCAGGTTGCATCTGACCTATGGCCATCCTATAAATTAACATTCTCCAAAACTTCCTGCCGTTAACCGCCTTGCTCAGGTCTTGCAAGTGGAGGGATCGCGGATTCCTTGATTGAGTCACTCCATCTTGTGTTGGGTCTTCCTTTTCCCCCTGCTGCCTTGAACTTTGCCTAGCAGGATTGTCTTTTCCAGTGACTCCTGTCTTCTCATAATGCAACCAAAGTACGATAGCCTCCGTTTCGTCAATTTAGCTTCTAGGGAGAGTTCAGGCTTGATTTGGTCTAGAACTCACTAATTGGTCTTTTTGGCAGTTGAGCATATCTGTAAAACTCTCCTCAAATGCCACATTTTAAACGAACCAGCTTTCTTTCCATCAGCTTTCTGATAGGGACTGTTGCAGTCAATGCTCCCTCTAAGCTGTGGAGTCTTGTGAGCAGAAATTCTACCTTGTGAGCTCCTGACATTAAAGTTGTGAGCGAGCGGTTTGGCTACTGCATGAATTAGTTTGCTCTTGAGCCATCCTTCGTGAGCGAAGACAAAAATCTGTGAGCATGGAGGCTAGAAAACAGTGAGCTAGCTCACACTAACTCAGCTTAGAGGGAACACTGGTGGCAGTATATTTATTTATTTCATCGATTTCTATCCTGCACCTTCTTGTATGCTCATCTTTTCTTTTGTTTCTTTGCAGCACCTTCCATATACGGATCTGAAACCGCCCAGAGGAGTTCTGGGGAAGAATTAGAAATCTGTTCCTGCCTCTCGGAATCTCAGGCACGTGGCTGGCTTTTGTGCTCCACTACAGACTCTCGGAATTCCGCGACAGAGACGAAAGGAATTGCGGAACCCTGCGGAAAGGAAGCACTGCTAATTTCCAAGATCTTGGGAATATCTATAGTGTTTTTTGGGGGAAGGGGGGTGGTGGATATTGTCACAGTCGGCCAGTGATGTCGTTGTAGGAAAGTTGTCGGGGTGTTATTTTTGTAACCAGAGAAAATGCTATTCCGTGTGTCTCCTTGTGTTTTTTAAAATATTTGTAAAGGTTTGATAGTCTATTATCCCTCGAAGCAAAAAAAGAGAGAGATGGCACAAGATACGCTGACTCTCCCAGATGTTAATTGATTGAGAACGCCAGCTGTGAAAGGAATTGCTCTGCCGTTGTTGCATAGCACCGATCAAGGTCTGTTCAGGACAGTGTTTGGTTAGCTATCAATCAGTGTCAATCGAGATGGCATTTATAGATTGGCCCTGTGTCCGAATTTGCCGGCTTAGGTGCTTCAAGCAACCAATGCTGTACGGATGCTCGGTGAAACTTGAAACATTTTCCTTTTCTACGTCGTTTGCATTCGCGATTAATTTCTCCTCCAAACAGACTCTTCAAATTTGTGTCTTCGGCTGTCCGGGAGGGTCGTGTTTGTTCTCATATACTGATGTGATTCTTGTGACCGATTGTAGAGACAAAGCAGGAGATACTTGAAAGACCAACCCAAGAATATACCGATGGAGAAATCCAAGATTCCTACTATCAAGGGACTTAAGTGACTATGATCGGATGCTTTCTTTTTCAAAAAAGCCAGCTATGCAATCTTTCCCATCGAATGCATGACAACTACTCTTTGCTCAAAAACCTGGAACATTAAGTTCTTTCCAGTAATGGCTGAAAACTGGAATTCGATGACAATCATACACATACAAAAAGCTGTTCTCGAACAGGCTTAAACGAAGGGCTCTGATACATACCGTGGCTTCTGTATCCAAGTCATCCATGATTAAAACCTTCCAGTGATTTTACGATGGTTTGCGGATTGTTGTCCTGAGTGCAGATCAAAGCATTCACCCTTTCCCCAAATGAAGGGCTTTTCCGCACTCGTATTTTTGTCATTTGCATGCCTGTATTGTGTCAGGGTTTTTCCCCCTTTCTGCATGTGTTTAGCTCCCTCTAGTGGTTGCTCCGATACTACATCATTGTATCTCTGGCATAGTTCTGTAAAGGGAATTTGGACTCTATGGCATTATACTGCATTGAAGTCCTTGCCTTCTCCAAACCCCACCCTCCCCAGGTTCCACCTTCAAAATCTCCAGATGTTTCCCAGCTGGGAGCTGGAAACCCTGCTTGTTTATCCTAGTCTGCGTATTAATTTTGGTGTAGCGGTTAAGAGTGTTGACTCTAATCTGGGAGAACCGGGTTTGATTCCCCATTCCTCCACGTGCAGCCAGCTGGGTGACCTTGGGTGAGTTACAAGTTCTTTCAGAGCTGTTCTCTCAAGAGCAGTTCTCTCAGAGCTCTCTCAGCTCCACCTACCTCACAGGGTGCTTGTTGTGGGGAGGGGAAGGGAAAGGAGATTGTAAGCTTACCTGAGACTCCGAGTGAAGGCTAGGGTATAAATCCAATCTCCTCCTCCTCCTCCTCCTCTTTCTCCTCCTCCTCCTCTTCTACTTCTTCTTGCGCCCAGAAGCACCAATCCCAATCAATCAGTCCAGTTACCTTTATTGGCACCAATCCCAATCCCCTGCCCACCACATGCCGCTCTAGACACTAAGAACTTGGTAGATGCCGCACAGCGACATGGATGCCCCCTCCTTGACCCACTGATCTCATTTCTTAACACCACAAAACAAGGATCCATATATCAGGTTCCTTCCACACTCTGAAAAATCACAACCAGCCTTTGGCGAGGAGCCATGGCTCAGCGGTAGAGTTGTTTGCTTAGGATGTAGAAAGTCCCAGGTCCAATCCTTCGCATCTCCAGTTAAATGGATTAGATAGTAGGTGATGGGAAAGGCCTCCTCCTGATACTTTGGAGTCCTGCTGCCAGTCTGAGTAGACAATACTGACCTCAGTGGACCAAGGGCCTGATTCAGTCTAAGGAAGCTTCATGTGTTGATGTAATATATGGGCAGAGCTGTGGCTCAGCGGTAAGAGCCTCTGCTTGGCATGCAGAAGCCCCCAGGTTCAATCCCCGGCATCTCCAGTTAAATGGATCAGATAGTAGGTGATGGGGAAGACCTCCGCCTGAGACCCTGGCTCAGGGGCAGAACGTCTGTGTGGCTTGCAGAAGGTCCCAGGTTCAATCCCTGGTATCTCCAGTTGAATGGATCAGATAGTAGGTGATGGGGAAGACCTCTACCTGAGACCCTGGCTCAGGGGCAGAACGTCTGTGTGGCCTGCAGAAGGCCCCAGGTTCAATCCCCGACATCTCCGGTTAAAAGGAACAGGCAGTAGGCAAAGTGAAAGGCCTCTGCCTGAGACCCTGGAGAGCGGCTGCCAGTCTGAGTAGGCAATGCTGACTTTGATGGATCAAGGGTCTACTTCCGTGCAAGGCAGCGGCATGTGCCCTCTTAAAATGTGGAATCCGCTGGCAGAGGATGTCATGATGGCCACGGGAATAAACAGATTTCAAAGGGGATGAGAGAGATTTATTTTATTCCTTTTACAGCCCGCTCTCCCCGAAACTGGCTCAGAGTGGGTGACATCATTTTATAAATATACATTTAAAAACAGGGGTCATTTCCTGCTGGAGCGCACAGGAGCGGAGCTCCGGCAGTAAAGAGCCCAGGGGGCGGGCACAGGCAACAAACCCCACCCCCTGCTCCCAGCCTACTGGGGGCCTGGAGAATGTTCAGAGAAGTGGCTGAATAAAGCCTGGCCCTGCATCCTGCCTCTGGTATTTCAAGGAGGTCTCACATCCAAGTACTTGCCAGTCGATCCTGCTTAGCTTCCAAGATATGACAAGATCGGGCTTGCCTGGGCTATCCATGTCAGGGCATCCAGAGATCAGGTTTAGAAAATTCAAAATATAAGGAAATTTACTAAATGAATTAAAAATAATACATGTTTCTGTTCAAGCATTCAAGTTGAGCAAGGGAACAAAGAAAATATGAAAACATGCAGTTCCCTTTCTATACACCTGGGATTTATCCTAAATTATGGTCACAATCACATGCAGAACTAGCCGCACCATAGGCACGAATGCTGGGCAAATTTTAAGGGTGTGATTAGACGCCAACATCTGCCAAGCATCCTGCTCCCATCGGCAACCTGTTTTGCTCTGCTGCAGGAGCGGAGTAAAAAGACACCGGGGGAAATCTGGGAGTAAATGGGTTGCAACGGGCCACAGATGGACTTTCCACCGTCTGATGGCTCCAGCATGCTCTCATAGTCGGACCATCCTGACTCTGTGTCATTGTTCCCCCCCCCTTCTCAGGATGCGCATCATCACCTCCTCAGTGCGGAGGTGCGATTAGTTGATTCCTCGTTGAAGTGCATCGGAAACAAACAGCCCCCCCCCCCCCTGCGGTTGTGGCAGGGCTCTTCTGAGGTTCTTATCAGGGGAAGGCCTCGGCCCCTGTGCCTTGTTGTTGGCCCTGCAGAGGAACCAGTTGGCCACTGTGTGAGACAGGATGCTGGACTGGATGGACCACTGGACTGATCCAGCAGGGCTCTTTGCCCATTCTTATGAAGGCCTGGGCCTCTATGCCCTGCTGTTGGACCTCCAGAGGAACTGGTTGGCCACTGTGTGAGACAGGATGCTGGACTGGATGAACCACTGGCCTGATCTACCAGGGCTCTTCTGATGTTCTTATGAAGGCCTCGGCCTCTCTGCCCTGTTGTAGGACCTCCAGAGGAACTGGTTGGCCACTGTGAGACAGGATGCTGGACTAGATAGACTACTGGTCTGATCTAGCAGGGCTCTTCTGATGTTCTTATGAAGGCCTCGGCCTCTATGCCCTGTTGTTGGCCCTCCAGAGGAACTGGTTGGCCACTGTGTGAGACAGGATGCTGGACTGGATGAACCACTGGTCTGATCTAGCAGGGCTCTTCTGATGTTCTTATGAAGGTCTCAGCCTCTATGCCCTGTTGTTGGCCCTTCAGAGGAACTGATTGGTTGCTGTCTGAGACAGGATGCTGGACTAGGTGGACCACTGGTCTGATCCAGCAGGGCTCTTCTGATGTTCTTAGGAAGGCCTCGGCCTCTATGCCCTGTTGCTGGCCCGCCAGAGGAACTGGTTGGCCACTGTGTGAGACAGGAGGCTGGACTAGATGGACCCTCACTAGTCTGATCCAGCTGGGCTCTTCTGATGTTCTTAGGAAGGCCTTGGCCTCTCTGCCCTGTTGTTGGCCCTCCAGGGGAACTGGTTGGCCACTGTGTG